ACAGACGCACAAGTTATCGTTAGGCCGTTGCACTTTATGCACATTCTGATGCTTTCGATATGTGCAGTAAATGGATTAAAAGTTATATAACACCTCCTTAATAAATATGGACAAAAAGAAGAATGCTAAAGTGAATATTAGAGGTGGAAAAAATGAGCGATTTTTGATGATAACACCTTTTGGGAAGCAAGGCTAAATGAAACATTGTGGAGCGCACTATGTCCTGTATCCTCTGCAATAGTATTCGTGATTTCCAGCATTGGGACATTGACTGGGTACATTCCCAGGTATTTCATCAGCCTCGTCATTAAGAGGTGCTGACGATGCTGGCGAAACGTTTGGGAATGTACCCAGCCAATGGTCCAATGCTGGCAATCACAAATACTATGGCAAAGGACGCGAGACTAGGTATGTTCCACAAGGTCTCCCTGACGCTCCGACCAAGTTGCGAAGACAAGGTTGAACCAACAACATTATAAAGCTAAAGGAGACTGTGATCAAACAGAGGACCACACCAACTTGGTCGTCATATCTAAAACTAAATTAAGTTCATTGGAATCTTAGGACTTACTTATATCAACGTGGGAAAATTCAACTGCATGTCCTTTATCACCTTAAACGAATATGGCGAATACATCTCATATATATAATCTAATGGTAATCTCAAAAATCCACTTATAAACGAAATATGCATGTATGTATGAGTGTATGTATGTATGTATGTATGTATGTATGTATGTATGTATGTATGTATGTATGTATGTATGTATGTATGATATTTATGTATGTATGTATGTATGTATGTATGTATGTATGTATGTATGTATGTATGTATGTATGTATGTATATATGATATTTATGTATGTATGTATGTATGTATGTATGTATGTATGTATGTATGTATGTATGTATGTATGTATGTATATATGTGTATGTATTTATGTATGTATGTTAGAGTACCTTTGATTCCGCTTGAAGAGATGGGTCAAAGGGATTCGTAAGTTGGCCTCATCGCAAGCTGTAGGGGGACTGTCTTGTAGCTGTGATTGTATATTTGTGCGAATAGGTCCTCGGCAAACTGCCATGCGACCCCGATGAATCCTTGCTGACCTTTCGCTCGTCATGTGACGGACATCGTCAGAGCAGGACACCATGCTTTCGATGATTCAGGACGGGTGATGGCCGGACTCAATCCTGCCCACTTTTTACGAATTTGGCTAGATTCATTTAGTGAGACATCTCATGATTTGGTTGTAGATCTTATACTTTTCTTATATGCTGTTGAAAAGTGAGGTGACTGCGGATGGAATGTGAATTGTATGTGTGTATTTAGGTATACATGCTTATGATGCTGATTTCTTTTTAGTTTCATATTCTTACTAAAATTGGGCGAAGGCAGTCATAATTTAGGGGAAATCGCCTAAAAGCCAATCCGACTGGCGAGATGGGCTGATAGTCTCATTACATCCACTTGGTTCATCCCAATGATTTTAAAATCTACATTTCAGTCTGTCTCCTTTCAGGCGGAGCCAATTTAGACGTTATGACATCGGCAGCAACATGCACTATTTGGCCCGTCTACGCTTTGGCTCTTGAACAGTGATTAAACAATGGATTCTAGGGATGAAGCCGGATACTTTCATATTCGTTTGAGTTTCTCACCCTGTCAGCATGACGATAATCCGAGAGTGTTGCTCTGCTACCATCCGCCAGAAGTCCCCGATCGTGTGTCCCATTGGCGCTTGGGTGGCGATGTATCGCCACACTTTTTGACTGGGCAAAATATCCCCAGATTTTGACGACTCTAGGTTCGAACAGTTGTATGGTTCTGGAATATAACTCGAGTTTGTATATGTCTGTGAGGAGGAAGGGAAATGATTCGGAACGAAATACAGTGATATTAATGCAGGTTAGTGCGTGAATATAGATTAACTAATAGGTTTCGAAAGGGTAGCCTAAAATGTGAACCGAAATTACCCCTGAACCAACCAGCAAGAACTTGGACAAAGAGATTTTTATTTTTCGAATTAAGTATTGTATTCGTGACTACCAGTAAATCAGTAATATGAGATGTTTTCACCCAATTTTGTTTAAAGTGATAAGGGACTGGTAAAAGAATTTTCCCACAATTATATAAGTTGAGCTGACGTTTCCATTGAATTGCACATAGCCTTGCCTACCCAAAAGTTGTTCTCATCCAGAAGGAAGTGGACTGCAGTTTCGACCTCGCATCGGTCTTATCAACACCCTCAGCGGGAGTCGAACCGCGACAGTGCAGTCTACTTCAGCCTGGATGAGAACGACTTTTGGCGAAGCAAGGCTATGTGCAATTCAATGTAAACGTCAGCTCAACTCATATCATTGTGGGAAAATTCTTCTTCTACCAGTCCTTCATCACCTTAAACGAAATTGGATGAATACATTTCATAAAAAGATTTTTCTCTAAACAAAACGAGTCGACAAGAATGCACCAAAATGGCTACTAATCAAATGTAGGCGAGTGGATAATGGCTAATCAAATCACAGCTCGTGGTTGCAAACCATCAAAAGCAATCCTCATTAGAGTTTTGGCTCTGCGGCCCCCTATTATGATCGAATTCTTCCTTCACTGTATAGACTTTTTTGACCTCGTTTCCGCGACATGATCATTCTATCAAGGACACTTCAAAGTATATACCTTATCCGGTATCTACCACCTAATTTATCATGGCAACTAGGACAGACTAAATGAACACGGTTCGTTCTTAAATGAATACCTGAAAACAAGTTATGACAAAGATAGTTAACAAATTCCCAATAAAAATTTTTGTTCTCGCGACGAAGCATACAGAATGGAGTGACAAAAGTGCAACTTCAGACTAAATTCTTTTGCCTTTATAGGGATTATCGACTCTATAAATGCAAAACTAGCAGGGCTATTACTAAGTTGCGATTCCCGGCTATATCCGATACGCATCAGGGTCTCTGATTCAGGGGACGCCAGCCTAAGGATTGTCCAGCCCCCTCCAAATCAGTATCTGCTCACTCTCGTACCGGATGATTGGGGCCCCATGACTCGCCAGCTTCGCCCTGATATCATTATTGCATCTGATCTAAGGTCACTATGGCATGTAAGTGTATAAAACGGAGTGGTATTAGCAGATAGAAAGTGGCGCTCAAATCTAAACAGGTGTCTTCTAGGTCAGTGGTTCCCAAACTTTTCCTAGTCGCGGCGGCCTCTTTCAATTACAATTTTTCCATGGCGCCCTACCCTAAGTATAACTATTCGAAAGTAAGAAATAAAAATAAATAAAACTCGTGTATCTTCATTAGTTTTCTTACTTTATTAACATTAAATTAATATTTAATAATTAATGCGATTGATGAGCCTGTTCTAGGCGATTAATGGCTAAAATAAGGCTGAACTCGGGCCAGCACTGACAGTACATAAAGTAACATCTTCTCAGACATCTTTACATTCTATCGACTTAATGTTGGCCTATCTCACATAATTAGATTAAATTACCTGATCTAGACATGTTGGCTCTAGATCGTCGATATCCCTTTTGACGACATCGTACCACGCGGCCTCAGGAGCCATCGTCTCCAGCGAGAATGGGATGCCGAGGATGACTCTTGAGTGGTCGTCTAGTAAGCATAAATGTGAGATAAATTGAGGCATAAAGTAATAGGGAGTCATGGAGCTTGATAAATGTGTTATGTTGACCGTCTAGATTTGCATGGCTTTGCCAGTGTTTAATGCGAATATGTGAAAGCCCCACTTTTCTGGCGCAGATGCCTTGAACAAATGGTGACCTATTCCGAATAGTTTCGAGTCCGAGTAGGGCTCTCATGCTTCACATAACTTGTATACTGCACACATGCTATACATACTATTATATACGAAACAAATTGCAGAGTCGTAAATTTTATTTTTGACAATAAAACAGCTTCCACTAACTCCACTTCCTTTTAATGCTTCAGATTTTTCTATCTACGAGAACGTATGTTAGGCGCGAAACAGCCAAACAAATAATGGGAGGTCTTCTTATCACTTCAAAGTTTTGCATAAAGTGGGAAATTGATTGCACCGAGCCACTTTCATATTTTTTAGTCTATTGCTTTTCGTACGGTTTTTCATAAAATACCGTTTCTCTCCCTGATGAGGTGTGTCACATGCCAGGCGAAATCTCGACACCGGTTTATCGGAATCGCAGAATGATGAGACGAGGACTTCTTCGCTCTATTCAACAGTCTTCATTCCCCCAAGGCAACCCTCATTCGATTAACAGTAAGAGCAATTTATGATTTCCTCCCAATCATAACTATCTTCTAAATGAAGAGTCCTGTCATAATAAACAAGGAATTAGTCAGCCTAGGCTGTGTAAGGAGATATACGGAACGTGGATATAATTTTCTTATACTACTTTAAATAGGCCTTACGATGTCTACCAAAAGGTATTCTTAATCGGAATGACTTGTAATTTTGACCTTGTCTAACTTTCATAAACACTCTGCATGAAGTTCAAGACCAGACCTTACATTTTTGTGATACTTTACAACTTATATATATAGCCACGCGTGCCAGTGCGTTACAGGTCGAATGCAACTTTTTAGGCAAATCAAGCCTCTTACAAACCAATTGTATACTGGGATTGTAGATTGGGCAAACTCGTATTTGGCATTGCAAATGGCAACCTTAAATACTTTGATATTAAGTAGGTTTCGAAACTATCAGTAGAGCTAGAAGAATACTAATAAAATAATCTGACAAAATGAATAGTAGAACGATTCGAGCTTATCTGAGTGGGCTACTGGGGCTCGAGTAGTGTTGTCATAGCAACGAATGTACGCCTTAAGGACATAGCGTTGGGCTTTAGTGTGACCCAACGATCATGAGGAGCTTCGAGACAAGCCACTTTTATTGACCTGAGACGCATAAATGCTCGTTACTGGGTGCTTGTGGGAGGAGAAAGAGCGGATGTCTGTTAAAGCAGATCTTGTCTGCTGATTGAGGAAAAACTCACATTGTGTTAACTTTCAGTTAGCTTTAAAGCGCTCGATGTATATATATATATATATATACATATATATAGGAACCTCAACAGACAAGATCTGCTTTAGCAGACATATCCGCCAGATCCGC